GATTAATAATAGAAATTATAATAGTAAAACATTTCTTATTTAATAACTAATTGGGACTATGAACAATCCCGTTCGATCTCTATTAGAGCTGGAACCACATCGACAGTACACAAAGAAATGCATTGATCAATCTCTACTTATGTATACTTTGTTTGTGATATTACTTCGTTAGTGGTGCATCGACGACTCGTCGATAACACGCCTGACACAATAATGCAGTTTAGAACCGACGTCAGTTTTGCTTCGTGTTTCTTACTTTTCGGCCCAGCTCATTCTAAAGGGCGTCAAAAATTGCAGACTGGTTTTGGGGCCGCGAGGTCCCATAAGGCTGCCACTCTTTAGTAATCTCTCCTCGATGTTGATATGAAAACCATAGACTCGTGGGTATATTCCAATAGCTGACCGCTAGATGGCTATTCCTATTCCCTCCTACTCCTACCTTTTACCTCCCTCTCTGTTGCATACAGTCGTATACGTTATACGTCAGTGATCATACGCGTGGCGTCGAAGAAGCTTCATGAAGCTGAAATGACCCATATCTGTATTCGATTATTACTTTTCTAAGATTATACTATGCAAAGCGATCGATATTTAAACGTACAATAAATAACAGTTCGAATAAAGGTGGCTAATGTTACGTGTGTCTAATGATCGTATCGCTTAAAGATGTTACATTTGAGACATGACATCGCCTGTTGCATTTCTGTTTTATGTATTTTAAATCTTGTCAAAGCCGACTCGCAGGATTATCTGAATTTCGAGGTAAATAAAACAATTCGAAAATCGAAAAATAAAAAAATTAGAGTATAACGCTAATGTTTGTCCACTTAAAATTATTTACGATAATTCGAATAAAATCAGTACTTATACGCATTAATAATTTCTTTTCGTTAATCAATGTAAACTAATAACGATAATAATTTCTACAGCACAGAGCTATTCATTTACCTGACAAAAAATTTAGCTTCCGTGAATACTCAGACTACTCTGATAATGACGAAAGAGATAAAGGATCTCTAGTTCCACAATGGGATCAAATACCTGTACTTTACCACAATGAGCATTTATCACAAACATTGGACAATGAACAAGTCTCAGATGCATTTGACAAAAGTTAGTACACAACATACGTTCACCGAATAAAATATAAAGTTACTCATATTTTACACTTCTTTATTTTTTTATGTGCACAGACATCATATGGGATTCTCTTTGGGCTCATGATATAAAATTTGGTCAAATAACAGCAGTGTCCATAGACCCAAATGGAGACATTGCAATATTCCATAGAGGTTCACGAATATGGGACACAACAACATTTGATGATGATAATAGGTTTGACAGAAATAAAGGACCCGTCAGCGAGAATACTCTAATACTGTTAGACAAAGCCGGAAGAAAGCTACTAGAATGGGGTGCAAATATGTTTTACCTGCCACATGGTTTAACCATAGACATGCATGGCAACTATTGGGTCACTGACGTTGCTTTACATCAAGTTTTAAAATTTGATGCTAAAGATATAGCACTGATGAAAAGTATGGCGAGATTGAGGAAAAGAGAGTATAATCAAGAATCAGTATATCTGACCGACCATGAGTCTAATAATATGTATGACAATTATGTGCCAAAACCTTCGATGATTCTTGGAGAAGCTTTTGTTCCTGGCAACGATGCAAAACGATTTTGCAAACCAACAGCGGTTGCTGTGCAAAGTAATGGTGAATTTTTTGTAAGCGATGGATACTGTAATTCTAGAATCATTAAATTCAATGCCAATGGAGAAGAAATTCTACATTGGGGTAGACATTGGGGAAGAGGTATCTATATTTCTCTTATGTAACTATTCCTTAGATATTGAATCGTAATGTAATGAATTTATTTTCCATTGTAGGAAGCTGGAATGAACGGAACCCACCACCAAATGCATTTTATGTACCTCATGCTTTAGCGCTAGCCAGTGAATACAACTTAATTTTTGTTGCTGATAGAGAAAATGGTAGAGTTTTATCTTTCTTTGCAAGCAACGGAACATTCCACAGAGAATACAAATATTCCATTGTTGGTACAAAGATATATAGTGTAGCATATGCTAGAGACAAACTTTATTTAGTTAATGGTCCTATGTTCAATTCAAATGTACACGTTCGAGGATTTGTTGTTGATATGAATTCGGGAAACATAGTATCTCAATTTGGCCCGGGGCACGACATGAGTATGCCACATGATATAGCCGTATCTGATGATAGTTCAGAAATATACGTAGTAGAATTGAATAATCAGACTGTTTATAGGTTTCTTCAGGGTAAGATATACAAATTCTAAGATGAATTTTAATATAGAAATGAAAGCTATGTAAACTGTACTCATAGAAAGTATGTCGTTTTTCTTCACAGACATTAGTGCGTCAGAGCAAACTGGAAATTCTGTGGCACGAGCAAATCCTCACCATGAACCAGCACCGTTAACGGACAATGATATTAACAATCCTTCTGGAGGTACTACAACAGCAACATTAGTCTTATCCCTTGTTACAGCAGCAGTCATTTTTATTGCCCTCTGTGTAGCAATTGCTGCAGTTGTAGCAAGATGTCAAAAAAGAGGTAGATTGTTTCAGTATGATGAATCTGCTGTCGAATTCTCAAAACTAGTCGAATAAGACTATACATTTGACTGATTTTGGGTTGTCGAGTAATAGCTGTGCACGCATGTTAATTAGTTTAGCCAAAGTTGAGCAATCAGTAGCGATTACATGAAAATAGCCAAATTTATTGATCTACTACGTGAAAATTTAGTAAAATGCAACTTCCTTTATGATAAGAGAAAGGGAAACAAATGTTTTTCGCAAATTCCATGTGGACGACTTCGCTATTTTTTCTTTAGTTTCCCAAAAAATTTCACTCCCTATGCTGCATAAATTTTAACAATCTTTTGTGTTGGCTTCGCTTTTGTTCAGTACAGTTTATAAGTAGTCAATGTAATCGTGTATTAGATGTGGTTATGACAGGAACATTAATGTTGTATGCATTTAAAGCTAGGCCAGTACAATAGAATTGTATAAGTGCATAATTTTTAACTTAATTTTGGTTCCAAATATATTTATAATTTTTGTAGACGTTACATAAATTTTTGTCATAGCACAAACGCAATATTTATCTCCTCTATTTAATATAAAACTATATAGTTTTATGCTTTGAAAGCAGGTTATTGCATAGCTTCTTCCTGATTATAATAAAGACTTTCAATTTCATCTATTGAAAATTATCAACATTCTACTTGACTTCCGAGCAGTAGGGTAGTAAGTAAATGTACTTATTGTGTAAATATTGTTTTAACTTTCCTGTGATTGAACGCAAATGTATAATTATTTTTTATTTATTGATTAATTATTAAATTTCTTATGTATTGTATTCAGAACTCAAAACTGAATCTTACTAAGAGACTAATTCTTTACGTACATTCGGTTTAGAAACTTGCATTTCACATTTTCTACCTCTTGTATATGAACATTTATTTTAAATGTCCATATCTTGTAACAGAAATATACATATTTTAATTTCAACAACGTTTTTTGTTATTCTCCTGTGCGTTATCCTATTTAACTTTCAACAAAGATTGCGTAAGTACCGGATAGTAAATTGTGCACGATGCTTAAAAATATTCGATGCTTCATAAAAATTTAACACTGTCTATAGTGATTTCTATTGAATTATACGTACCATACAGAAATGAAAAAGTAATAAGAAAAGATAGCGACGCCATTAATGACCAGTACGAATATTTTCAAATATTAAAATAAATTTGCAATCATTTTTCCGAAATGTTCCTAATTACGTTTATTTTTATAAACAGGATGTTTGTTAATAATGCGCAAACGAATGCGCTGGGAAGCCGAGAGACGAGAAAACTTTAAACTCTCGAGCCTCTTGGAAAAAAGAAGAGGCAAAAGTTTCAAGATATCGGAGAAACGGCCGAATCCGCGAGATTTTAGTAAATTGAACACGGAACCAGAAACGTCGGAGGATGAATATCCAGGAAATAGCATTACGAGAGTCATTTAATTGATCAGATGGTTACAAGTAACGTACCTTTAATCAGACGTGCTGTCTTCAATTCCAATTTGTGCTTACTGCGAGTAGACCCGAATCTAGTTTTCCATGACACTAAAGCGAAAAGCATGTACCGTGGTCGAATCGCAGGTTGCTTCGATTAATACTTCACAAGCGTTGCCTTCTCGTATAAGATCATTAATTACCACACACTGAGTTAAGCACACGCGATTAGTTTAAGATAAGCAAACATAGTCAAGATTGTTCAATGAAATATTGAAACTGCTGCCTGCGACTTCGTTGTTGACTGATTTTCGCTCCCGCGTATTAACCGAACTTAGCCGATCGAAGCCGAAGTTACAAACCTCGCGAATATTTAAATCTGCTATACCACTAACCGTGTATTTCAATTGAATCGATTCAATTTTGTACAAATTACTATAACTGAATGTTTTAACTAATAATTACACTTGAACAAATATTTATAACGCTCTTCTTATATACGAGGAACGAGATATATTGAATGCGAAATGCGATATATGTATGTATATGTGATGTGTGCGTGTGCACACGATCGCGTTCAATCGATTAATCGAATATTGGATTCGATAAGTACCTATGTTCTTCTTGACTACCGTGCAATTAGTGTTTCCAAAGAACTGCCGATATTTTTAGACTTTACTTTGTTTAATATAAATTTTAATTTAGTTTAAACATTTAGAATAGCCTTAATGATTGTGACGGTGGTCTTATGAATGCGGTGAACGGAAGAATTGTAATATTCCTGTGAGAACGTATAACAGGTAAAGGGCAACTATCTCACATTTTGACTGTTTAAAATTTAATTATTTCGAACACATTTGACGTTATTACAAATTCAAAATAGTATCATGTTCAAAGTAATATAATACATTCAAGTTACATGTTTGAAATTGAAGATCAGTTACTTTGAAAAATATTTATGCAACCTAACTTACCTGATAAATAATGGCCTTGCAAATTGCACTTTGAAAGTGACCAAACTTATGTTGCATTAATTGAATATCAATATCTATTTACAAAGTATATTAAAGTTACACAGCGTAAATTATTGACATATCCCTTTAAAGTTTTAACACAAAAATTACATTTCTGTATGTATGTAATGTATACGATTTATAAGACGTGTTTTATCCTTGCATATGCAATCGATGATTTTGTATTTAATTAATTCCTATACATTTTCATAGTTCAAATGTGTTCGTTTGAGACATTCAGTATTTTCTCAGTACCTGGAAATGTATTTAATATTCTTACTTTTTAATACGTGTACATATACATGTGTCTAGTCCGTTTTATTCTCCAAGTCTACTTTAAGTATTTAAACATTCTTTAATCTATACAACCTGTTTCAAATAACTTATGAACATTTTTATGTATAATGCTACAAACACATTGTACCTATGTAACCACTGATATGAAAATGTATATTTTCAAATAAAAATGGTGTTTGTAATATTAAAAGCAATTGGACAAAGGATTAAATTAATTAGACAAACAAGATTTAAACTGTGAAAATCGTGGAGGCTGGGAAACGAGTATTTCTTTTTGATAATGATTTATTTTACACACTTAGTTGTCTTCTATACACAACTATACAACGATAAAAATTAAAATTCTTCTATTTATCACTAATTAAATTCATTGACGATAATGATTTGTGTTAAAGGTGCATAAAGTCAGTCCCTTCTTTCTCTTTCGCAACGCGTTCTATCAAATATGTTTCATTGCTTGTAAAACGTACAGATCAAGAGGAAGAAAGTACGTTCACGTCAAGTATACATAATTGATGTTACCATTGCAAAAAATCTATGTATCGAAATTTAATTCGTTCACTTAGCAAGCTCGACGCTTTAACTCGGTTCGATCCGAGAGATCCACTCACGCAGATGATAAATAAATATTATTATACTTTTCGCGTATTGACAGATGACGTAATTTCACAAAACGCTTTGTAATCGTTGCGTCCGATTTTATTAAAATATGTATAAAAATGTGCAAAGCAGTAGCATAGAAAATATTGTGAGGAAAAAGAAACAACAGAGGGTAAATAAGAAAACAGCTATACGGTCAGCTCGAGTATAAATTACTTCATCCCGAACACAAATTGCACCAGCAGGATGAATTTTCGAGGACATATCGTCGTCTCGTGGCTATATCATTTTTTTTTTTTTTTGGTTTGTACATTGAAAGTCGTATACGTTTCGTAATAATACACTGACAACTGCATATTGTTCATTTCATATTTATCACTAACTTTTACCTAAAGACTACCATAAATTCGTAACTAGAATAATCGACGTTCGTCGTCGCTCGCGATCATTACTGTGGTACCGCTTATTCTTCCTGCAATATCATATACACGACTTGTCGCTGTCGAAAGGATCACAATGTTCAAGTATACTCGTGTTTCTTCGTAAATGGAATGTCGTGTTCGCTTACGATATTCAATTATTATTCATATTTAACATATAGTCTATTTACAAAATTTACGCCCCGGTGAACAACGAAAACAATGTATACTTATAATATTCTCGGAGAATTTTCGGGAGATGCAACGTATAAAACTGCTAGCTTGCATTTAAATTTAAATTTAAATTTACGCGTTTTCCTCATGTAAAATTCAATCGCGCGCATGTACTGGTCATTTTTAACTGCTTGTAAATGAAAGTCCACATTTAAGTATCAGCTTCATTTAATTCCAGTCGAAATTCAAAGCCGAACGGGAAAAGATTATCTTCTACCCATTCAATTAATTAACTCTGGAATGCTTCCAATTTAAACTCATTAAACGAAGATCAAATATAACAAAACGGGTTTATAGAAAATTATAGGAAAGTATACACAGTTCCTTTGATTTTGAATAGGTTTGTAAAAATAACGTGTGCGAACAGAGATATGCGTTATCAGAGAATTACCAGTAATGATATAGTAAATTTAATAGTAATAATCGATCGTAGTTGTTACGCCAAATATTTTTCTATATTTACAATGTCATACGTTATACTATCAATAACTTGTCGTATACTTTTTTTTATTACACCGTGCCACATCGCGCAAATTCGTTATTTATTATTCATAAAATTATTTTTAAAGAATAAACAACAGATAATAATAAAGTTATGTTTCATAAGTTCGAAACAATAGGTCACCTAAATAATTAATTTAAATATCGGATACGTAAATCAGCTTCACAGCAAACATACGATTAAATCAGAGTGGTCGAAATAAATTAAACAGTCGTGAAATATTCGTAACACCGAAATAACCAATTTCAATTGAAGCAACGCAAAATTGATACGTGTTCAAACTCGAAGTTTGTAATTAGCCATGTTACGAATACACAGAACATAATAAATCGTCCGAGCACCGGTGATAAAGTTAATGTATGGATATATGAAGTAACCACCCACATTTTCTTAGTGTTGCACAGCTTCGATGTGAACACGAATCCTCTTGAAGAAGTCATTAATGCTAATTACATTTTTAATTAGCAAAGCCTTTCTCTTTCACATCTTCATCATTCGTGTTATCGAAGAATGTTCTCGATTTAGCTTCCTCACTCTAGATTCACTTTTTCTGTTAATTGAACTGCACGATCACACACGTTGTTGAAACAAAGAAATTGGTGTCAGTCGCTGTAACCAATAGAAAATCTACGGTAGCCTCATTCACCTCTATAATTGCAAATTGACCAGGCAAACAAGTATGAGAACTAACATTAACAGTCCGTGTCTCCAATTATTACAATTATATAGATGACAAAAATTCGTTGTTGCAGCAGCTTCTTGATTGATCGTTCTTCGAATTTATCAATCTTTATCTGAAAACGGCATCAGTAACAAAGCAACACAATCTTTCATCAAAAACTTGTCGCTCCAATCGTTCGAGAAGAAAAATAATTTAACGACGTATATGTACTTGTTCATCATCAAAAACACCTCGAATGAATTTCTGTGCCACCATTATCTCGTTGAGATAGATGAAAATCGGAAGTGGTGAAACATAGATGGACGTTTCTCGTGCCAACCACGAAGCAGAGAAAGAACATCCTCGTAAAACGCGTTGTTCCATTTCGTCACGCGTTACTTCTGCTACCCTGCACGTTCACCGCCCGAAACCATCGTCCACGAAGGTAATCCCTCATACGTGAGACCGACGGTACCCATTGCTGAGTTGAAAGCAAAATTCTGAGGGCCTCAGTAAACAGAATTGTACTCCATGTCCTGGGCATACTGAGGTGGTCCTGCGGTTGGTGGCGGCGGCTGCGGGCTGTACTGTTGCGACGCATCCGAGGCACGACGCCTGAGCGCCGCGATGCTGTGGGCGCCTCTCCAATCCGAAGCCTCGGACGCGTTCACGTCGGCGGACACGCAGGAAACACCGCCGCCGCCGCCACCGCTACCGGATGTAGTTCCAGGCGAGCCCTGGCCGCAGGTCAAGGCCGACCCCAGCCCGCCGCCCTGACCGCCGCCCACGCTGGATCCACCCGGAGGCGAGCCCCGGGATGCTGACACGTGCACGCCCCCTATAAATCAGAACATCAAGGCCTCTAAATTTTTTCTTTGTATCTGTTGTCAATGAAACCTCTATTGTATGAACTAACAAGAGGGACAAGTGTTCATTGTCGTAGAATAACAAGCGATTAATATTCTAATTATTTAAGACAAGAAATGAATAAAATTTCATAAAACCAATTTTTTATAAATGCGTCAAATCCGTATTCTAATTATCGAATTTTACGTCGTGATCGCGTGTCGAATAGTCAGTCGGAATCCTTTGGCTGTGGCAGGTAGCGAAGGGGCAATTTAGAAGTGCGATATCGCAGGTGCACGCAGGGAACGTTTCCGTTCTTCGCAAGGGATATTAGTATGGTAGACCTACAAAGTGCAGGGGATATGCTACCGGGTATCGTAAAATCGTATCCACCTTTCCTTACGCCACGTTGGTGGGCTCGTCGAGAGAGACAACGGGAAGAAGGAATCTTTTTATTACTATATAGAAGCATAAGTTTGTGCAGGACTTCAGGTCTGCCCTTTGTGCTAAGCAACGATGAAACAGCTAACAGCTTCGAATTACGTGATACTGCATTATACCTCCGTGAATTTGAAACTATGAATTTCTTTTACTCAAGAAAGTTATTTTCGTTGTAGCAAAAAACAATGGACGATTTGAAAAGCAAATCTTGTAGGACTTGTTGATTTATACTAAGTTGGATAGCGTTTAGGCAGTCGCTCGAAAATCGGGCATTTTTCGGTCACGTTAATTCACACCTTATAGATATTCTTCCAGCCGTCGGTGGCTGGACCAGAATAAACATAATAGAGCTCCTTCAGTAATCGGCTCGAAAACCGGCGAATCTTGTCTGTGCTACCGTTCAATGCTAATCATCATCGAGAACCAAAAAAATAAGAAGTTTCTCTAAAAGGTGTTTGTCCTAGACATTACCGAGGAGTAAAAACGTATATGTATAACTGACTATGGTCAGGACTCGAGTATTGGCATCCACCTTTAACCGAGGTTACGCGAAACGTACCGACGGTGAATGACGCTTGTGGAACGGCAATTTTTTTCCTCCTTTCGGTTGTCGCTACCTGCCCTGCGGCGATAATACGTGATAATTGACACCTTGTACGTGTTACGTATGTACACAGCCATATACATGTCCGCGTTTGAAACACGCTCATATTAGTGCGTACATTGTGAAACTGTGCTACACCTAAAGCTGGTTTCGCCACATAACTTAACCCCCTGCCTTTTCTGACAAATTCTATCCCGTCTGATAAAATTTCAAGTCATTTCAACACTGCAGCCTCTCAAACTAAACGTGATAAACGGATAGTGTAAATACAATAGGGGATGAAGATTTCATTCCTCTCAAGAATTTTTTGTACCGATTCTTTTTATCGATCTCTCTTTTTGGAACCTATTTGTAGCTTAGCTGTATTACAATTATTGCTTTTCAACTGTCGTTCAGTTGTCAAATAAGTAATTATAGATGAATTTATCAAAGCCAGTTATAACAGGTATTTGAACAGGATTTTCTATCCTGAGAGAAATTTATAGTTGGGGCTTATTATACAAGTTGTTGACCTCTGGAGATGACGGAATATTTTCTAGATTAATCCATTTATACGTGTCAATATGAATTTCATAATGACATTCAAGGTGTTCATTAACATAAATTATTGGGAAATTTTTAGAAACTAGTTAGCGAAAAGTCACTGATAGAGGGAATTGACGAGTCAACTATAATACATTCTTATCGTAATTCTTTTTCAACAATTTTTAAATCAGATTTTTAATTCGATCCAATCATAAAAAAATAGTCTATGTACATTTTCTAACATCACTCATATACTGAAGGCGGTATAAAAAGAGTAAAGAACCGGTCGATCATTCAACTTGTCTTTCCATCTCTTCAGTTTCTTCGCGCCTATGTTCTCTTAAAACACTTTGATTGTATTCCAGAGAGAGAGAGAGAGAGAGAGAGAGAGAGAGAGAGAGAGAGAGAGAGAGAGAGAGAGATATTGGAATCGTATGATGGGTAGAATTTGGTGAGACAAAGAATTTCACACACACGTCTCCTCTTCCGAGGCACCTTCAAAGGTACAAGGTCTGGCCGGATAAGCTGAAGCGTAACTTAACCAAGACAGGTTGCATCGAGATGTTATGGTAAACATACAGCGAAAGAACTCGCACCTAGGTGCGAGACCAGACTCGAAGTTTGCCTGCGTAAACAGACGAGAGGACGGAGTTTATGTTTCTGTCTCAAATTCCTTACATGCAAGCGCATAACCCCTCCGAGCGATAATGCACCGTAACGTTTAACGACTTCGTCAAAGAGGTACCGGGTTCCTCGATACTGTTTGCACATCGTCGTTTTTAGAGGGCCACGGTTCAAAAGTTTGGCAAGACGATTATCGAACCGCCTATAAGCGTCTGAGTTTGCCCGGAACGTTAATATTCGTCATTTTTTTCTTTGGAATAAGAAATATTCCTCTTCTCAAACACCTGCGTTCGCGATTGATGGCCAGCCTAAATCACGTTTTAAAGACTAACGCATAAAATTGTATTATCCCTGGAACGTCTCACTCTCAGAATCGCATGTCATAAAACATTGAATTGTCATTTAAAATAGTATAATTTTATAGTAATTCCGATTTCCAATAGAGCGATATCATCACCCATGGTATGCTTTAAATTAGCCAGAATTTATAAGTCACTGTAGGCTGTTTCACAAGGATATTCTTGCTGATTATTGATATTCAAAAGATTATCTTCAAGCTTAAAGCTTAGCTTATTAATCTATACTTAAGATTAACTTACCGAGGGAATTCAGTCCATAACTAGCTTGATAGACTGCTTGCGACGGACTGCTAATCGGTAGTCCAGAATTACCAAGACCCAAGCTCGGGCCAAGGCTTCCCGTGCTTTGCTGACCAAGTTGCCCTAAACTTTGTCCAAAACCGCCCATTCCCATACCTCCCTGTCCCAATTGTCCAAGACCTGCGAAACGAGAGGTTTCAATTAAACAACCTATGATGTGGCTCGATTCAGAAAACACAAAAGTGTGTCAAGAGAGAAAAGTGTGTCACAAACACAAAAGTGTGTCAAGAAGAAAATGAATTATTTGCTTGCAGCTATTAAAACAATGATATAAGCAGATAATTTAAGTTATCTTACATAATAGATACGCGAAATTAAATTGGAACTGCGGTGACTTTGATTCTACAGTTCAGCTGTTTAAGATGATAGCTTGTCTCTTCCTCGTAGTCGCGCATGAAATGTTGGTATGTAATAAGGTTCCGCATAGGCGAGATGACGTGTAAAATTGAGCGTAATTAATGTAGAACCGGGCAATTTGTTGATATTAAACAATCCCCGCGATCGCTACGTTTTGAAGTACGCGATACTCCATGCTACGAGATGCACGATGATTTAAAGCCTTATAAATTTTAATTACATTACAGAAACCGGTCTGTCAAGTTGATTTAATTGTCGGACAAATTTCTCGTTTTTGTTATATTATATACACGGTATAGAATCATCGATAGCTAACCTGTTCCCATTGTCCATCTCTCAGGAGGACCACTAAACATTCCAGCGCCACAGAGTTCGGTACTCATCGGTCCAAAAGGAGGTAATCCATGCGACGGCAGCAACGGGCCTGGAGGAGAACGGAAAATCGAACCGCCCTTCTTCCTTTTTTTCCACTTTGCTCGACGATTTTGAAACCACACCTAAAAATTCACGATCAGCTGCAGATTTCATCGAAACATCCTGAATTAATAAGATTGCTTCGTAACAAATATGTAACAGGTAAGTTGCATGTTTTTTTTATGTCGCTTTAATATGTATAGATACATATATTCAAATCGACTGTTGCAAGGCATTCAAAATGCAAAACCATCTAAATAACCACGCGTCCTCTCTATGTTACGATCAGTATTATTGTACTGTTAGTTATTCGTTCTTTTCGCTGGCAATTCTTTCACGGCCGCACAAAAGCAAATTTCGGGGCAAGACGTTAAGATGTCCCTGGACGTTACGACAATATCTTCGACCCCACGGCGAGTAGCTATTAGCCGCCGTTATGAGCTGTTGATTCTGGCCACGTAGTGGCCCCCTAAGCTGCCGGGGTCCCGGGGACTTGATTTATTGATATCGCATGCAAAGCCCACCCCTGTGCTTCTCTCTCCGATATACCCTCGTCCTACATCCCCCGCTAGTCACCCCGTCCGCCCTCTGTTCCACGGACTACAGTCCCTTTCCGGGTACGGTAAAGCGCGCTATAGCCATCTCATATGTGCCCATAAATTAGTAGTTTAGCATTAGAGTACGATGCGCGCTTGCGCCTCCGACGCAGCAACGTAGTAACGCGTTACCTGCGAGAGCAACCGAGGCTGCTTCCGGGAGCAAACAGAGAACGAAACAGCTAGCCAACCCGAGGGGTGGAGACACCCTCTACTAACATGCAGGGATTATACGAATCTAATTGGATATATGGGATTTACACGCTCCAGTGTACTCCAGGTATTGCCAGAAAGCGATCGTCGGATTTCTCCAACGAAGACGGTTTATTATGACCCGGTAAGTTCCGCAAGAGAATGAAAACCACGAGCTTGTACTACCTGTTATTAGTTGTCTGTAAACTTTCGTCGAATTATTGGAAGGAACGCCAAGATATATGCACGCGAAACTTAAGTTGCAATCCGAAGTTTGAATTACTTGGGGAATACAAGCTTTTCAGAGATTTTGATGATTTCGTCGATATAGCAAAATTTTTTGTCCAACACTTATTATCTTGGGATATCTGACTTCGTTCACCGGAGCTTAGGAACATCTGGCAAGTCCGTTGCCGTTCAAGGATGAACGGCTCGTGACGAGAGAATAGCATTAGAGCTGGATGGGTGTTAAGTGCATTGGGATGGAATCGGTGTCTATAGATCACCCATTGGCGCAGCGATATTTCACGATAACACTATCCATCTAAATCCCACACGCGGCGATCGTCGGAACGTCAAGTGTAGACGTTCGAATTTCTGTTCCCAAAATCGAACGTTTTTGTGCTCTCACAGCGGAAGAGACAGCACTGGAGAATATGCAAAATCTGTTTCCCCCTTCGATTCAATCCCTTCTGTCTTACCACCGGTGTCAATATTTCTTGCGGCATCTCTGGGTGTGGTTGCTGACGATTTCACGGTACAACTACGGCTAAAAGCCCATGGATAATTTGCTGTTACACGCCACGTGAGCATCGACGATACACACCAGAAGAGGGAAAAAGCACAAGGGACTGACGACGTACATACATATATATCGCGCATTATCATGTGCACCCTCTGCCCCCTACGCGTGGCTGATGCATCCTATGTACTATACGTACGCCAGAACTTCCGTTAATTAACGCAGGTGAATGCTAATGACTCCTGTTACGAAATAACTGCACGTAAAATGAGAGATTTCGTACGCGATGCAGGGTGCTAGCCTAGTCGTTGAATCGCTAATCTGTTTGCTTATAAGATGCATGGAAAAATATTAGGCGAATCTATATTGCCGGTATTTGACGGGGTTTTCTTGCTTAAAGACAATTCTAAGCCGTACGAGTAGCTTTTATAATTAAATTAGATGAGCGAGACTGATATAAATAATAATATTAAAAAAATATTACATTTGACTTTTACCCTATTCAATTTGGATTATTACCAGTCAAATAATCATCGATGAATGATTCCATGTCTCTGTACATCGTGACCGATTCGATAATCATGGATATCTATGAAATTCTGTCAATTATACGAATCATGTTATGACAGGAATGAAACTATCGTTCTCTATAATGATACACGGACAAAGAGATTGTTACTCCGTTAATTACATATCTAGCATGATAGATTAGCAATCATTCAATTTACGTACTTAAAAAATCGTTCACTGTCGACATTAGAGGATGTCAAATAGATAATAGTGATACTCGACGTTTGGTTCTATCCAACTTGTAATATGATCATGGATTATCTATATGACTACTCGAAAATTCAAAATGTATGAGTATGCAACGTTAGCAGAAAGGAATTACGTCAAAGTAGTGATTGAGAATAAAGAGAGAGATCCTTGTTTATACACGTGAAATAGCTGTGCAAATGGTAAAGGATATAGAAAGGTGCACGATTGCACAGATCGAATCACGGAACACACCTTTCGATGACTAAGGTTGCTTGACGGATACCTTTCGTGGCTATAATACCTTTTCCAGATGGGTTGGCGGGTCAATTAGGAACATTGCTTTTTAAAAATTGATCAATCACCGCACCGCCGTCGTTGCGAAGGCGCGTGCGCCACGGCAGCTGTTCCCAGGAAACACCTGGAATCACTGCGAGGGTAGAAACGAACGTAAATGCTCTTGAATAATCAGCATCAGCCTTGATGATGACTGGTTCTAAGCGAATGCTCGATTGGAATGTACAATGTACAGGCGAAAGCAGTATCCGAAAATGTCTGCTGCGTTTCAATGCACGCAAGTGAATTTCTATCATTCCGCATTTGCATTCGTATCCCATGAAGAGCTCACTACGACATTCTCACATACCTATTATATCCGCATTTTAATTACATGCTTTACTAACCGAGATTTACTTTTTCTGTGACGGAGCCGAATGAATTTCATCTGACAGTCCAGCCGTCTACCAAGTTGACAGTCACTGAATTTGCATAAACGATTATCCTCGTTTGGATTTAATCGTTTGCGCATATATTTGCGGCTGAGGCGATGAATTGTTGAATATATAATACAAGAACTGACCAGTTTCAAATTTTATTATTTAGCTACGAAGATATAAAAAAATGACATCTAGTAGTAGTTTCAATATCGATAAAGCGAGTATCTAATAGAGATACGATTTCCTTTTCTATGTTGGATTCCTCTATCGCAATCGTGAATAGCTTAGTTTAACTGGAGAAAAAAGTTTTCGAGCTCTCGGGGGGTCTAAAGGTAGGAGGTAGCAAGAGGCAAGGTTCGGCCAGCCGAGTTCAGGGGCGGCTTGAGGTTAGGGTAAGGTTTAGGTGGTGGAAAGAGGCGGCGAGACCTCGTAAAGGGGGTTTCAACGGGCGCTGATATAAATTGAGCTTGCCATCAAGGCAAGCGGCGGGATCTGCCCAAGACCCCAAGATATATAGAAGTAGCTTTCAGCACGCCATTGAAGAATTGTTCAACTCGCTTCGCGGAAAAATACCCGGAATCGCCGCAAAGCGGGATAACGTTTTTCTTTCGAGACTTTCTGCGACTCGATGAGGGCTGAAATGTTTCCACGATGAAAACTTAATTCATCTCCCAACGTTTCTTCCTTCCTCGACGATGAATCTCTCTCATTCACTCGTAAAATGATTAGTACTTATCGCCCAGATTTTTTTTCGCGCGACACATATTTTACTTAGTTTATTTAATTGGGGAAACAAAGAAGCACGTATGCTCGAAATCAGAAACAGGTGGAAAGTCGTTCGTCTCCCTTAGGTGGTTCTTAAGCTTAGATGACAACTAATATATTCACTTTAATAGTATATCATGAATATGCAAAATTTGATTTATGACTATTCATGGCAAAATCACTACATAAGAGTAAGTTTCTTTCAACGAACTCTCAGCAATCAATTTTCCTTGCACATCAGTACCAGACACGTTTTTGCATCGCGAGCAGATTGTCGTTGTCTGTGGTCGAGCGAGCGAAGTAGAACAGGGTGATCATTGGTCAGACATATCCACGATGCATTCAAACATGACGTCGCTATTTTGGAAGCGATCTGTTTTAGTCATCGATGAAATAAATTAATTGAAGTGTAATTAAATAGAACAATTATGATGATATAACGATTGTTAATTAAAATGTTTTATTTAAATCATAGCAAAAGATATTCCATATGTTTCATAGAGGCAGTTTCTTCTCCGATGTTTGTAACTTGAGTTACACTTGATTATATTAGTGTTTTTCTATCAAGACATAGAATTGCAAAGGTGAAGAACCGCGGATGTTTAAATTAAAGTACTCGCCAATATGATTGCCCTAATTGTTAAACTTGTGATGAATTTCCAGATATAAGAGAAAGATAGCATTCCTTCGAGTATAAGGAGAGAAAAAGTTAGTCGAATGGCGTGGGCGACTAATATTTGATGAAAATAAATACTACATAAGTTGGTGCGATGCGAGCCTGATTGATGATCGTGGTCGAGCCCCTGTCCGAGGGTGGCAAGACACATTACCCGGACCACCTACTGTTTCACGCTGCGTTACGTCGTCAGGAGGGACATTTTCGTTGGGTCATTAGTGGAGCATCGTGATCTAACGTCGCGCGGTATTAAAATTCCAGGATTCACCCTCGAAACGCTGACAACATCGATTTTTAAATCAATTTTACGTTAGATGTATTTTTCGATGCTCTGAGAAAAAATTGCAAGCTTTATAACATATTTATTCGCGTCAGTTTCGAACTTTTTTTCAAAGCATTTTGAGATACCGGTAGTAAGGTTAAAACAAAGAGATGCACATTCTTCTCCATAGCGCGGGTAACCTCATAAAAAGGCCACGGAACTACCGATAAAATGCATACTCGCATGCACGACGAACCGTAAACTTGATCCATTTATACACTTTATTATTATTTCACGGACGCAATATCGTTGGCTTAGGATACCTGTCGTGAAATTAGCCCGAATTGCTCGTGGAACTGGATTTATCCTCTGAAGTAA